AGCAGTATACAAGTAACAACATCTAGGTTTTCATCTAATTCTATATGTTATATATATGTATTGCTTCCTTGGAAATCTGATTTAAATACAGATCAAGTGTCCTATCTTCTCTTAGAATGATCCAACTAATGTGTTTAACTTTCTGATGTATAGACCTTTTTAAAGGTTTATCATGACTTCTTGTAATTACTGTACACAATGCTGTATCATACATTTGTGTACATATATGTATGTAATATACATGTGCACTTCCAAAACTTTTGGAAGCAGACATTTTATTGGTTGACACAATAATTTCCAAAACAAAAAGTACACAATGTAGAAATGAACAGAGCGGGAATATATGTCTTTGTAAGTTTTGTATTGATTGTATTTCACTCTTCAATTTATGTTTATGTCTGAGGATTTTAGCTTTTTCCATTATAGATTGGTAGGTTCTGATATATTTTTTATACTAGCATTTTCGTCTTTCCTATTTAAGATTTTATTCTTTCAATATATGAGTTATTGTCCGTGATTTTGCTAGCATTCATCACTTTCACCATTTGTGAAACGATTATTGAAATAACAAAAGTATTTCTGATCGATTTTGTCACTTATATTTGTAAAAGTAAAAAAAATAAATGGGGAATGTATCCATGGGACACAGATGACGCCTCCGCTTGTATATCATATAAAGTTGTAAAGGGACATAACTGAAGAACGGTAAAAGTGACGCTACCCAAATATGTACTTGATATGAGTTTTGTGGTAATAAGTATTGTGTATAAGTTTCATAACATTTGGTTGAGGCAAACTTAAGTTCGAGAACAGGAACAAAAAAAATTTTCCATTTGTAAACGGGCATACATGTAACTCTAGAACAGTAAAAGTGACACCACCAAAATTCAAACTTGATCTGTATTTTGTGGTAATAAGCATTGTGTAGAAGTTTCATTACAATTGGTTAAGGCAAACTAATGTTAGAGAACAGAAACGAAAAATTCAGCAATATGAAATTGGGAATGGAAATGGGGATATCCATTTGTAAAGGGGCATATATAACTCTAGAACAGTTAAAATGAAAGCCACTAAAATTCACACTTGATCTGTGTTTTGTGGTAATAAGCATTGTGTATAAGTTTCATAAAATTTGGTTGAGGCAAACTCAAGTTACAGAACGGAAACCAACTTTGGGACGTACAGACAAGGGTAAAACTTAATGCCCCCTCCGCTATGGCGGGGGCATAAAAATCATATTTCCCAGTATTACCCATTTCTGAGAGTATCTATTCTTTGATATCAAACATATATATAAATCAAACCCCAAAGACCAAGGTTAAAGTTATTAACTTAAAAGTGAACTCATACCACATCTTCTTATATCTATGTAACATTAGAAAGTCTCGTGTCCTCGTATCACAACAGATGCACACCTTATGACAAAATGACTTTTTGTTCAACAATATTCCTTTTCAGAATAAACTTCTGTCCAAGTCATGGCTCATGCTAGCAGGCGACTGGGACAAAAAAAGTTGTTTTCCCATTGGTTGCTTACCTGACTGTCAGAAGCCATATCTAGTCGCCCATGTGTTTCCAAGTCGTGTTCTTCATTTTCCATTTTTACCAATTAAATGAAATAGCAATTTTTTTATTGATTTCGAAAAAGATGTGAAAACAGAGACTTTACAGATTGGTTGTATGTTATTTCTTAGAAACAATTGTTAAGTATTTTCTTTCACTTCCAGTACTTGTTACTAAAGAGCTTTCAATAAAACATTCTGATTTTCTGTAAAATAAGTTTGTTACTTCATCAAAACATGATGAAAATTGCCTTGAGTTAATGTTTCATATATTTATTGCATTAAAAGTGTCATATTTCTTTCCAAATCGCTTGACAAACATTATTTTTCATAATTTTTTTTTGTAAGCCATAAAAATAATTGTATGAACCAGGGATGGGAGGCGGTATTCGTCGGAAGCTGATCAACAATGACTGAATTCTGTATTCTTACAATAATAACTACAGACACACGAATGGTACGGTTGATCATGCCACACTTTTCCGGTCATAAAAGTGACAGTAGTCTTATAAAGAAGCCCTACTATAATCCCTTCTCATTACTATCAATGTGAATTAAGTGTTTATCAGGTGATATTTACCTGTGAACACCAGTGTCAGGTAAAATATTTGTACTGGACATCAATCGATCTTTTCAGAAGATACTTTTTTACTAAAATTAAAAACATTCCTGGTTTAAATCTATCTACAGTACTTTTAAGCAAAACAAATTAAGACTATTGAAAAAACGTATTTAAAACGATAAGATCATATCTTTCAAGCAACAGGTAAAACTATTTTGTACCAAATGTTGATCGGTTTATTTATTTAAAAGTTGTTTTTTTTAAATTTCAGCGGTTTACTCCTCATCAATTTAGTCAAAATTTTTTATATACTATGACTATGAGAAATACACGAACATAATTTGATGAAAATTTAAAAAGGTAGCAGTAAAGGTTGTAAACGAAAAATCGTCGGAATCACGTTGTTAGAACTAGAACACGTGTGCCCATTTCCACAGGCGAGTTTTAATTATGCATCCGATTTTTAAAAATGCTAAAATCATCATTGATACATGTACCTTAATCTAACATGTCTAACGTTCATTTCTAGTATTTTCCTGAAGAAATAACGCCAAAAGAGCTACTTAAACTGAATCGTGCTTTGTAAACGTATACGGATTTTACGTATCAGTATCTGGTCCATGTTTTACCATTGTCAAGTCAAAATCTGGTATTAGAAAAATGTGTTTTTTAATTTTCCACAAATACAGAGTCTAAGGCAGATATTAGTACGGTGATGATGCACACTTTGAATGATGCACCGTCAATTGAACAGTTTACGTCAGAACATCGTATCTATATCAAAGGTAAAGTTTAAATTAAAATCGTTTGTGTGTCAATCATTGTTCATATGATGCCCAACTGATTAAAATGCTTGACTTTTGTTACTAAGTCTTCAGGGATTGAAATCGGGATAAGACAAAAAATGTCTAGCTGGCTCAAATATATTTTGAAAGCCGTGTCTAGGCTACTTTTTCTTTTTTGATATAAAAAAATTTCACTGGGGAGGATATTGTCTTTTCAACTCTTTCACCACAAACCAAAGAAGGGTAACAATATATTTTATCAAAAGCTTTGGGTCTCACTAATTAGAGTCAAAAAGCGCAAAGAAGTGACTAGAAGAATAATTTAGCAAAAAGAAAATAAATTAAGCACCAAGACATCTAAATGATGATTATATGAAATAGATAAACATGTATTAAAGTGTGTGTTACTTTGTTTTAAATATACGTGAATTTTCATTATTTCATGATATTGAGAGAAGAAAATAAACATTTGTTCATTTGTTCAAGTAAGAGTGATTTTGTTATCAAGGATATGTTTAAATAGATATATTTACAGTTTGGTGTATAAATGAATGAATTTTATAACATGTAGAGTCGGCATGTCTGATATATCAAAGGTTCAAACCAAATTAATAATATTAGAATCAAATTTTTATCTCACTAAAAAGGTCCATATATATTTAGGATGGGACATGGAAATGTTACAAAATGTTCAGATTGATACATACTTTAAAATAATGTACTAAAATAATTTTTTCTATAGGTGCCGATTTGACTTAAGCTTGTACCCACATATCATTATATGTTAAGTCTTCACGCTCAACTTTTGAATCTACAGGCCCTAGGCTGAATTTTACAAAAATTTAAGTTAGATTCTTTTAGCCTGTAGATATGATTTTAACAGGCCCAACAGCAGTTTTACAAGCCTGGGCTGGCTGGCCTGTGGTTGATTTCGAAGACTGCACATAGTGCACCTAAATATAACAAAATTTGAAACTTATAAAACAGCAAATAATCAACTGTAATTAATTGACTTTTCCTATAAATTTACCGTTTAAGTGGTATATAAACTTTCTTGTAGCTAAATTTGTCTTCTTATCACTATTTTTTTCTTCTTGTCACTAAATTAGAGAGACCGAAAACTTTGAATCCAAGAGTCAATACACATTCTAGTAAAACAAACATAAGTGTCTCAGGATCATATTGAGTTTTTGGGAGTTCTCAGGAAATTGTTGTACCCCAAAAGGACCATAATGGTTACAGTTCTGCAGCCAGCAATAACTTAGTATATGAATGGGTTCCCAATTTGCTGTGACATATATATGGGCAGGGCTAACAAGTCTCACCACTCACCATTTAAAGCGAGATTTGCACATTTTCATGCTTAATTGGCGGCATAATATTTCCTTGAAGCTATTGCTTTTCCTCTCCGCAATTTTGGCCAAATCTCACGCATTTGCTTCATGAAAACTTGGCAGAACTCTACGTTACTGTATGCATGGTACGAGTGTAAATTTTTCAAATCACTGCAAAATGAAATGGGATAAAACCCCAAGTGAACGTCTGTACCCTAACTATTATTTTCAAACCCCTCATCCCCGCTGTTTCATTCCATTACCCTACTTTTTACGGTAAACGCTCTGCCGAAAAATCAGAACTTACAGAAGACCATGCATTATACTTGATTACTTCCACAAAAGACGATCTGCAAAATAACATTGAAAAAATATTAGCGGATAAAATAGATTTTGAGTGTACCTAATATATTGTTTATCAGAGTGGTCATATAACAATTGCAAGCAAGTCACTGGTTACGTGAAAACGGTCTTTTTCTCCAGGTAGCATTTTTGCTGTTATACATATGCTGTAAAAATGGCGACCAAATGATAAAAAATAACCGGAAGTTACTACAAAGGGATAAATATTCATGAATTTAAAATTATATTTGAAAAGGGAATAAAAGGAGATATGTGATTTTTTCTGTAACAAAATTCAAAGAAATGTTATTTGATATTTTTTAAATTTCATAACTATGTCAATAAATGCTTTATAAGATGAAAGAAATGTTCACATTAAAAAAGCGTTATAACGATCTTGACTACTCATCAACAATCATGGAAGACAAGTGCGCGAAGTTGATCTTACTGTTGAACTTTTTTGTTGTTGTTCGTTGTCAGTCTCAATATAAACTTTTTGTAAACATAACTGATTGTAAAGAAACTGGGCTTTTCTTTCAGTACTATCAAACATCAACATTGACCTGTTTAGCGTGTCCAGAGGATAGTACTTCCATGACTGTTAGTTCTGATGGTAAGATCATGCCCAAACAAGACAAAATTTTAAAAAGAAAAGTGTTCTTGTCATTTTGCAATGCTTTTTATTAACAATTTAACTACTTTCTGAATTGGTATAGTATTTTCTAGCCCAATTAAATTTGTAAAGCTGCTCTTCAAATTACAAAATTGATCATTAAAGGAAAGAATAATGCATTATTGAATATTGTCGAGTTAAACTTAAAGCCAGAATTGGTACCTTAGACATAATGATACAGATACAGATAGTGTCAGAACAGAAAATATCAAATTAAAGGTCACAGGCAAAATTCATAGTACTGAGACATCACATCAGCTGCAGCAAAATTGATGAAAAGTGACAACTCTTAACTGTAGTGAAACGGTTTAGATGATTTTTACATTCGTGCATGTTTCTGTATATTTCCAATGTATGTTACATGTATATATTGTATCAAAGTGTATTGTTCAATGATGGCTTTGAACCGGTACCACAATATCCAGAAAACTCCTCAAAACTGATTAAAAACCGTAGAACTGATAGATATTACCAGAAAACTCTATTTTGTACAGTATGGTGTAATACTGCTTACATGTACATTGCTACATGTAATAAAGACTATACATTTTCATTATTTGTCATTTTTACTCAATTTAAGTACAATTTCACTTTAAGAATACAAATTTAGTGTCTTGTATGCAAGTTCCTTGAAAACAGTATGGTGGAAATAATTATTCAAAAGTTACATAACTCTCCTTAAAAATAATTACATCCACCATTTGTTTGTCAAATAGTGAAGACCCTTAAGCTTAATGCAATTATTCTACCTTATATCTTTGAACAAGAAGTAAAAAATTATTCATCACCTCAATTGTTTTGAAATAGAAATTCAAAAATTTTTGTAGTTTATAGAATGAGGACAAATTACATTTGTAGTTAAACTTAATGGAAAAAATACTAATCTAAAAATAAGAAGATGTGGTATGATTGCCAATCTTCTTATTTTTATATTACTCATCAGATGGATACAAAGCACATACATGACATAAAAACACAAACATAAAAGACACAAAGTACAGATTTAAGAGTACTCATAGTTAACTGAAATCTACATGTCGTTCATCAAAGCCAATAAAAACTAATAAAAAATCATGTATCTAAGATTAATATATCAACCAGTACACATCCAAACATTCATGGATTTAGTGTAAAGACATCATTAATAGTCAGAGAAAAACATGACCTTCAGGGCTCACACTACATCAGAATCATAGGGAGAAGTGGTGAGATTTGAAAGAGAAGTACTCTTTCGTTTGCGGCGCTACAATGTTTGGTTTTTACTATATTATAAAGGGCCAAATGTATCCTATTTTCGTTTTATATTATTCAATTAATATCTGAATATACAATTAAAGTAACAGTTCAAATTAAAAGTTGTTTAAGTTTATCACATCTAGTTGCACAATTATATATTAGACCTCTTGTCAGAAACTACCAACTAAATATCTAGCACTAACAGATTTTTTTTTATATCAAAAAGGAAAAGAAAGTACATGTATAATATATGAATTACAATTCAATTAAAAAACTATTCTGTTTATCATGATTATGAAATTCAGTGTTTCTCATTAAAAAGATGTATAAATTTAACAAAGTTAAGTTGGGACAATATATTGATATGAGTGTAATAGTCCCAGAGTGAAGCAACTTTAATCAATATATTGAAACAATGCATATACATGTACACCGCAATATATACATTAATCAAGTTGATTTATCCAAAAGTCTGTTAATGCGTGCGGAATGTGGAATTTTTCCTTTTGGGATCAAAGAAGAAAGAATTCCGTAGTTATTATCGTAATGATCATGATGATACGGATTGCGGTCATAGCTGGTTCGTTTCCGATGAATGCCGCCTCCGATTAGTTCGTAAAAATATTTCAATGGCGGACGAAGAAAATTTACAAAAATAAACGATGTTTGACAAGCAATTTGGAAAGGAATATGACATTTTTAATGCAATAGAATAGAATAGAATATAGAATATTTCTATTTCCCAAATTACAGGGCCCATAAAGGACATAAAATCAGATACAATTGATTTACATAATTGGTAACAACAACAATAATAGTCACTTGTAAATATATATTTAGTATATTAGCATTGGTCAGAATCAGAGCCAAAAACCACATATATATTGTGAATAAAAGAATAAAATTACATTATATGCATTCATTCTCAAATCATTTACTTGACTTAGTGTCAATATTCATACAATATATGGACTAAACATTTATTAAAGGCAACTTCTGCAACTTTCATCACGTTCTAATAAAGTAATAAACTTATTTTGATGGAAGTTAGAATGATTTGAAGTACGCTCTCGAGTAACAAGTACCGGAAGTAATAAAAAAATTGTCTTTATGAAATAACATGCAACAAACTGTAAATTCAATGCTTTAACCTCTTTTCAAAAGAAAATAAATAGTTTATGGATGTTTATGTCTTTGAATTTGTTTACTCATAAATGAAAAAATGATGTTTCAATGATGTGGTAAAATTTGAAAATTGCTGATGATGAAAGCAACTGAAAGCGAGTAAGGTGAACAACAGGGCAGCTAGATTTTGCTTTTGACGGTCGGGCAATATCTATAACAATAAAAACAATATTTAAAGATCTAATTACAGTGTTGAATTGTTAAGCTTTTAGAATAAATATATTTAAAGGATCGATAAGTTTACTCGATCATATCTATAGTTACAGGCTCGGTAAACAACATCACTGTAAAAAATAGGATGTGCTATTATCCTGTTTGTAATAAATCTTTGTATCTAATCTGTAGAGATTTTTTGCGTTTAATAATTTTCTTTAACCAAATCATTGTAATACATGTCATACACCCCGTGTTTCAATTTCTTCATTTTGAAATGGAAATCTCAATCAGGAATAACCAGAATACTCCTGAATGAAGTTTTTAATCTATAGAAATTTTAACAGTATACCTGAAACAACTTCTGAATATGCATGAAATAAATGCCACTGGACATTAAGAATGCAACAATCAACTGAAACAACTTAGTTTATTTATGTGTGTTAATTTAAATTTAGATTTTGTCATAGTCATGTATATTTGTACTGTTTGAAGATAAATCAATAAGTTTTCGAATATAACTAATAAGACAACTAGGTCACTGTGAAATTATAAGACTCAACATCCCAGATATGACTGCCAAAATTAGTTAAGCAAAAAACAAAAAATAAGAATTCTACAAAGCTAGACAATTTATAAATTTATAATTTTATAATTTTTCCAGTTGTCTAAAATGTCTTTGATCAGTGTCAATGATATATTACCTATATTATAATTGAAGCCAGAACAAAATATAGTTTCTACCATTCACATGTCATGTATGTAGTTTATAAAAAAAACAAAAAAACCAGCAAAATACAAAAAAAAACCCCAAACCAATAAACAAGCAGATAATGAAATTAATAAAATCGTTTAAAATGTAAAAGAAGAGGAGATGCTACTGGTGTTAGAATTAGTTAATGTTAAACTTAGATTACCTATCAGGATTGTATAATATCTTGCCCCAATTTACAAGAATACTGCATTTTTGTTGAATTTGTGATTGATTGTTGCTTCCTTAACACCCACTGAGTGGCAAACATTTTATACATAATCAGGGTAAGAATAAATAAACGATAAAAAAATAGGTACATGTAGGTTCTGAAAGATTAGATGACAGGGATGAAAGATGGTAAATTAAGACGGCCACTGAAAAACAATGGTATGTTGGTTAGGGGCATAAATTGGCAATTCAAAATGGCAGCTATTGACCCCTCATAGAGTTGTTGCAAAGGTTCTTTATCATTCAGAGAGCATGGCACCCTGTCTACACATGTACAAGGCATCAAATTTTATATCCTCATCCTAAATGCATAGCCAAACAGACGCTCCACTTTAGCAAGGGTTTTACCTCTGGTCAGAAGAAGACAAGGTGACCATATTTCTATACCTCAGTCACCCTTTGGGTCATTTTTGTTGTAATGTTGTATGTATTTTCCTATACCATATTTTTAACACTTAAAGCTAGAATTTAAGTAAGATTCTTCTGGAGGTCCTACCAATGGGGCAATCCAAAACCATAAGCCATAGAAAAGCACCCAACACCATGGTAATAAAAAGAATATGACAAAGGGTCTATGTAACACTTCCCCAAAAAAGTAGAGTAAAATGAGCAAAAGGAACCCCACCAGTTTCTTCTCCACCAGTGACAGTTACTCCTCTACATGTTAATATCCATTTAAGTAAAGGTTATAAACTAGTATGTGGTAATAGGAAATTGTAATTACCGTTTCCAAGTATACAGAATTTTTTTTTGAATTCAACAGGTTCATTGCATAATAACTTTTTATTTAATATTTTTCCAATTAACAGGCTATTTTGTTTAATTTACTGTCTGACCTTCATTTGTAACACTGCTAATACGATTATAAAGTTTACTTGTTGTGTTTGATAGAAAATAGAAGGAACAGAAAAAACAATTCCTCATTACTATCTGTTGCAGGTTTAGATTGTATTTGCAACCCTGGTTACTATTATACAAGAAATTTTGGAGGTGGAGAAGTAACTTGTGCGAAATGTCCAGCCGATCAGGTATGTGTTTCAACATTTAGACATAATGTCCAGCTAATTAAGTATATGTTTCATCATCTAAATGCAATTTCCTAGCCAATTAGTAAGTGTTTCATCTAAGCACAATGTCCAGCCAATCAGGTAAGTGTTTCATCATCTATGCACAATATCCAGCTAATCAAGCTTGTATTTCATCATCTTCCCCAGTAGGCATAATGTCACAGACAATCAGGTATGTGTTTCATCATCTAGGCACAATGTCTGGCCAATCAGGAATGTGTTTCATCTATGCACACAATGTCCAGCTAATCAAGTTTGTGTTTCATCAACTAGGCATAATGTCACAGACAATCAGGTATAAGTTTCATCATCTAGGCACAATGTCCAGCCAATAGAGTAAATGTTTCATCTATGCACAATGTCCAGCTAATCAAGTTTGTGTTTCATCATGTAGACACAATGTCCGGCCAATCAGGTAAGTGTTTCATCATCTATGCACAATGTCCAGCTAAACAAGTTTGTGTTTCATCATCTAGGCACAATATCCAGCCAATCAGGTAAGTGTTTCATCTGTGCACTCAATGTCCAGCTAATCAAGTTTGTGTTTTATCATCTAGGCATAATGTCACAGACAATCAGGTATACGTTTCATCATCTAGGCACAATGTTTTGCCAATCAGGTAAATGTTTCATCTATGCACAATGTCCAGCTAATCAAGTTTGTGTTTCATTATCTAGGCATAATATCACAGCCAATCAGGTATGTGTTTCATCATCTAGGCACAATGTCCAGCCAATCAGGTCTGTGTTTCATCATTTAGTCATAATGTCTCAGCCAATCACGTATGTGTTTCATCATCTAGACATAACAACCAGCCAATCAGATATATGTGTTTCATCATCTTAGATTCTAAATACATTATTCAAGCTGAATTTCCATATGTTTTTATACATCCGTTTACGGGACGTATTATGATATACATTGTACCATTATCAGTCTGTCTGTCCGTCCTCAACATGTCGGACAATAACTCAAAAACGCTTAAACCAATTTGCATGAAACTTTGGTGAATTGTTTATATCTATTGACGTGAGCTCCTGATTTTTATAAATTTTGGATTTTACGTTTCTGAGTTATGGGATTTTATTCATTAAAAAAGGGGATTTTCCATTTTTCGGACAATAACTGCGTTATGGAACTTTATTCTTTGAAAAATCAAAGGGCGTATCATAAACCCATGTCGCTGCTCTTTATTCATATTCACTTTTAAAAGAGTAATTATTTCATTATACCGATAAACTTAAATCATTTGAAAATATTCTTTATTAAAAAATATTAAAACAAGGCGTGCTTTTTGTCTCGCCTTGACGGAGTCAAAAAGCGAGACATAGGTTTGCTGTTTTCGGCGGAGGTGCCGTCAACAATGTATTAGTTTGTGATTAGGTCTAGTTCATGGTGAACCACTAGTGGTAGGTCAGTGATATTTGGTCTGCAGTTGTATTAGCATTGGCACATCTCATTACCATGGAGATTATTTGGCCCCGCCCCCTCAGTCAAGGTTTATTGACTATGAAACTGCTTAGTTTTCATGTATTAGTTTGTGATTAGGTCAGTTTATGGGGAACCACTAGTGGTAGGTCAATGATATTTGGTATGCAGTTGTATAAGCATTGGCAAATCTCATTTCCATGGAGATTATTTGGTCCTTACCCCTCAGTCATGGTCTATTGACTCTGAATTTTTTACTTAGTTTACATGTATTAGTTTGTGATTAGGTTAGTTTAAGATGAACCACTAATGTAAAGTCAAAGATATTTGGTATGCAAATGTATTGACATTTGCAAGTTTCATTTCCATGGAGATTTTATAACCCCACCCCCTAATTATGGTTCATTGACTTTGAAACTTTTACATAGTTTACAAGTTAATGTTTGTGTTTAGGTTTGTTTAAAGGGAAAGACTTATGAAAAGTCAATGGTATTTGGTTTGCAGTTGTATTAGCATTGGCACATCTCATTTCCATGGAGATTAGCCCTGTACCTTCAGTCATGGTTCATTGATTTTGAATATTTGCATAACTTACATGTTAAAGTATTGCTATTTTAATTTCAACATTTGCATTATCAAAATAACAAATAGGCGAGACATATCTCTGTGTTAACAGTTTATTATTTTAATTGTTGCAACAAACTATTATAAATGTTCTAGCAATTATCAAATAACTGAATCAGACCTTTTCTTATAGTATGACAATTTTAGATTTATTGTTCAGATGTTTCAAGTCTCTTATACAGTTGATGATTTCTATTTAGATATTTATGGTTAAGAGTTGTTCCTCTTATTTTTTGCAGAAAATATATAAATTAAATGATTTTTAAGAGATCCATGAAAATTTTAATTTAAACAGGATCTGAGGGTGTAAATAGACTTAATAGTGTTGTTTCATTTTATAATACTGATGGAGAATATATTGTGATAACAAGATAGTGTTTTCACCTGATTCCAAGGTACTCCAATTGCAGAAACAATATATACAGAAGAACAAGAAGAAATGCATTTTTGTAATACTTCATAATATGTTTTGCAATAGATTAGGGGAGGATTTAGGCACATTTTTATGTTTTAAAAAGTGATATTAACTGGTTAAATTTAGGTTTGGGATTTCTATGACAACCAATATTAAAAGCATTTTGAGATTAATATTATTCATGTTATTTAGAAATGCATAAATACTCTTGCACTTCAATAATGTAATCACGGTCATAGCTTATTGATTTGTTGCCTTCAGTGATTTATGAATTTCTTGGCTATTTCCTTTGCAGTTTGACACCTCTTACACTATAATTAACTAGGTAATTAGCAGGTTAATGACTTTTACATCAATGGAGTGACAAACTATTGTTTGGCAGCTGTTGAGCAATCTGAAATAGTAAAGTAAGTTCAAATTGAACGCCAAATATTAAAGTATATCAGAGGGAACTTTTGCTTCTTAGTCATGTAAAGTCTCATGGAATTAGAATTCATGTGAAAGATACTGAAATCCAGGGTTTTTAGCATGGCATGAGTCATGCATTTTTTCAGACTGTTTATGATGTATTTACACTAAAACCCTTGGATGTGTACTGATTGATACTTTAGTCTGAGAACATGATTTATTTATTAGTTGTAATTAGCTTTTGATAAATGTTAATTGTCATGCGCTACACTTTTAATCTGCACTTTTCCATTTAAACTTCAGGGTATAAAACTGAAAATCTGTACACATACTATAGTTTAAATTTATATTACAGGCTAGGTCAGCTGATGGATGGAGTTGTGTGAGTTGTGGTACACTTGGTATTGTTAATGGTGAATGTCTTAAATGTGGTGACAGAATTACTCCAGGTATTGTTAATGGTGATCGAATGTCTTAAATGTGGGGACAGAATTACTCCAGGTATTGTAAATGGTGAATGTCTTAAATGTAGGGACAGAATTACTCCAGGTATTGTTAATGGTGAATGTCTTAAATGTGGGGACAGAATTACTCCAGGTATTGTTAATGGTGAATGTCTTAAATGTGGGGACAGAATTACTCCAGGTATTGTTAATTGTGAATGTCTTAAATGTGGGGACAGAATTACTCCAGGTATTGTTAATGGGGATTGTATTACTTGTGGGGACAGAATTACTCCAGGTATTGTTAATGGGGATTGTGTTACTTGTGGGGACAGAATTACTCCAGGTATTGTTAATGGGGATTGTGTTACTTGTGGGGACAGAAATACTCCAGGTATTGTTAATGGGGATTGTATTACTTGTGGAGACAGAATTACTCCAGGTATTGTTAATGGGGATTGTGTTACTTGTGGGGACAGAATTACTCCAGGTATTGTTAATGGGGATTGTGTTACTTGTGGTAGAATTACTTCAGGTATTGTTAATGGTGAATGTCTTAAATGTGGGGACAGAATTACTCCAGGTATTGTTAATGGGGATTGTGTTACTTGTGGTGTTAGAATAACTCTAGGTATTGTTAATGGGGGTTGTGTTACTTGTGGTGGTAAAATTACTCCAGGTATTGTTAATGGTGAATGTCTTAAATGTGGGGACAGAATTACTCCAGGTATTGTTAATGGGGATTGTGTTACTTGTGGTAGAATTACTCCAGGTATTGTTAATGGGGATTGTGTTACTTGTGGTAGAATTACTCCAGGTATTGTTAATGGCGATTGTGTTACTTGTGGTAGAATTACTCCAGGTATTGTTAATGGGGATTGTGTTACTTGTGGTAGAATTACTCCAGGTATTGTTAATGGGGATTGTGTTACTTGTGGTAGAATTACTCCAGGTATTGTTAATGGGGATTGTGTTACTTGTGGTAGAATTGCTCCAGGTATTGTTAATGGGGATTGTGTTACTTGTGTTAGAATTACTCCAGGTATTGTTTATGGGGATTGTGTTACTTGTGGTAGAATAACTCCAGGTATTGTTAATGGGGATTGTGTTACTTGTGGTAGAATTACTCCAGGTATTGTTAATGGGGATTGTGTTACTTGTGGTAGAATTACTTCAGGTATTGTTTATGGGGATTGTGTTACTTGTGGTAGAATTACTTCAGGTATTGTTAATGGGGATTGTGTTACTTGTGGTGACAGAATTACTCCAGGCATTGTTAATGGGCATTGTGTTACTTGTGGTGGTAGAATTACTCCAGGTATTGTTAATAGGGATTGTGTTACTTGTGGTGTTAGAATAACTCTAGGTATTGTTAATGGGGGTTGTGTTACTTGTGGTGGTAAAATTACTCCAGGTATTGTTAATGGGGATTGTTTTAATTGTGGTGGTAGAATTACCCCAGGTATTGTTAATTGGGATTGTGTTACTTGTGGTGGTAGAATTACTCCAGGTATTGTTAATTAGGATTGTGTTACTTGTAGAATTACTCCAGGAATTATTATTTACTATTGTTAATGGGAAATATATTATGTGTGTTGACAGAATTACTCCAGGCATTGTTAGCTAAGAGTATTACTTGTTATTATAAAACTACTCAAGGTAGTGTGTTACTTACATGTATGGTGACAAAATTACTACATGATGATTGTTGGATACACATTAAAGCACATGACTAGGTGGTACTGTTGTTGTTATATTGATTAACATTCACAAGTTTTTTCATAATTATACCTTATTCTAGGAGTGGAGGGTATATGCATGTAACAATCACTTTGTTCTTTTGTTCTGTCTGTTCGTTTGTACTTCAAACATTGTCACATGTTCCCAGTTACTGCTAAACATATTTACTTCATTTAATGTCAGCAGCTTGACTGATGTATTCAGTGTTCTCCCCATGATTTTTGGATAGCACCAGGGTAACGTGTGTGGACAGCTTGATGAAATGATTCATACAATCAGTTGTGTAGCGTCGCGTCGCTTAGCTATATTTCTAGTTACTGCAGTATGTCTCTTGTTTTGTTTTAACACTGTGGTACTGTGTTATGTAGATATTGAGTCTGAAAATTATTGGTAAAAAAAGAAGTAAACCAATAAACCGTTTGTATACTTTAATATTTTTTTTAAATAAATAAAACATGATTCATTACAAAATATTCATCTAAATTTATAGTAATCAAATCTTTTATCAAATCCATGATCAATAAAAATAAAATATCATTCAAAGGAGACCAAAAATGTTCAATTTAAAAAAAACTTTATAGTTTCTAGAAAGAAAGTTGTTGTATGTGAAAGGATTCTTGTCATAAGGAGATATAAAATAACAAGAACAAATATTGATTTATTGTTTGAACCAGTTTCTATCTTAAATTTAAAAAAAAAAGAAATTTTTCATAAATTTAAAAACATTTTGCCATAGATTTCATGTAGATATTATCCTTTCTTGTCTTTGGTGATAATCAAACATTGATACAGACTTAATACTGCACTGAAATCTAAATCTTTATTTGTCATGATCCATTTAAAAAGAATTTCTAAATCTATAAATTTATCTTAGGTCTATAAGTAACCATATTCAATGTCAACAACAAAGTCTCCCTATTTTTCCCACCTAAATGATAGGAAGTAGATATAAATAAATTTAACATGTGCTTATGGATAAAATTTGCAAGATAAAAACATATTCTACGTGAACTAACTGGGTCATGTGATATGTACATATGTCCGTCCCCTTCACAGATACTATAGTTTGAAACAGGATATCATGCACTTAATAATGTCATAATTAAAAAAAATTTTAGCCATGGTTTAATCAGACATATTATACTAAACTAATGAGCCAACTTTATTATGTACAAAAAGTGTACAGGCGTGTGTGCAACTATGGGGTTCACACTGTTTGTGTACAAAGTATTTGCAGACTTGTCACAGGTCAGCGCTTGGGTTGTGAGTGAAGCCATAAAATAGTTATCAGTGATCATAAAGTTATGAACTCCTAATTAAAACATAAAAGAATAATGTAACAAGTGTTAATTACATCGATTAAATCCAATCAACAAGGTTAACCTCATAAGGTAAATCGATCACGTGGTTTCAACAATCTGGGTGAACTGGTTTGAACTGGTCAAATTTCACCTGGAATTTTATACCGCACGGAAAAGAATTAACAAATCGCTTAAAACTTTACAGATTTACGATTTTTTTACTGAAAATTTTAGCACCACAGGAAACAATTATACATCGCGGTAAGACCGATACCACCACGGTCAAAAATTATACATCACGGTCCTTTAAGGGCCTGGGGAGAACACTAGTATTGTGATGTGAAAGTGCTCTCAGATCTGTCAGACACCTACATTTTGTTTTCCAATACTTTGACATTTCAATATGTTCAATCGTCTTTATATTTTAGTCATATACTTTCTCTAGTACTACTGAACAGAATCACTTCATAACTGGAATGAAGCTTGGCAGAAAGGAATTTAAATGTATAGGTGCTTTTTGGATCTGTCAGAAACTTATTCCTGTTTTTTTACCCCATTTTAGAAGGGACGTATAATGGTAGACCTTATATTCTGTCTATATGTCAACACTACGTTTGATAACTCATATTTGCTTTAAACAATTCTCATGAAATTTTAACTCACCATTAGGGTCAATGGGGAAAAGCTTCCTTTCCAACTTTCAATTTTGTTTTTACAGAGTTATGGGACTTAAATCATGGAAAATTCTACTTTTTCTCAATTATTCTTCAATAACTCAACTTTGATGTGATACTTTTTCCTGAAATGTCATCACCAGGCTAGAATTGATCAAAGTTCGCTCCCTTTAAATTTTCAAGATTTTCAATTTTGTCATTCCAGAGTTTTCAGACTTTATTCATGAACATTTTTCAGATACCAAAGACACACACTTTCCTGTGAATATGAATATTCCTTTCCATTTTGAAAATTTTCAAGTTTGTCCTTTGAGAGATACAGACTTAAAACTTAATTTTTAAAAAGTATTTTTTACACATCTTGTACCATAACTTTACTATACTTTGATCAATTTACTGGAAACTTGACACAACTGTTGAAAAAGGGTGAAAGTAAAATACCTTTTGATTTTTTTACTGTTACAGGACTTTTTTAACAGTCAGATTTAAGGCATTTTTATAATTTTTGCGTCGTATAATGCTATGGTGTCATCGTCTGCGTCGGCGTTGTCCAAAGACACATTTGGTTTTCGGACAATAACTTTAGTTTAAGTGAATGGATCTCAATTGCACAGTATTGCCCAATAGCAAGAAATCTCGAATTGCACAGTATTGCGCAGTAGCAAGAAATCTTCAATTGCACAGGATTGCGCAATAGCATAGTATTGTGCAACAACAAAGTATTGCCCAATAGCACAGTATTGCGCAATAGCAAGAAATCTTCAATTGCACAGTATTGCACAATAGCAAAAAATCTTAAATTGCACAGTATTTGGCAATAGCAGGAAATCTTAAATTGGCCAGTATTGCGCAATAGCAAGAAATCTTCAATTGAAAATAAATACAAATCTTTTAACCAATTTCAATGGTATTAATTTAAAGTCTTTAATTTTTGGGGGTTCTAACCTTGTTTTACTTTTTTGGATATTGGGCCCCATTTTTAAATTGGTCTACATTGAGGTCAAAAGGGTCCAAAATTAAATTTTGTTTGATTTCATCAAAAACTGAAATATTGCGGCTGTATGATATGCTGAATCTTATTGTGCATTTAGATTTTTTATTTTGGGCCCTGTTTTCAAATTAGTCCATATTAAGGTTTGAAGGGTCTAAAATAATCTTTGTTTGATTTCAACTAAAATTAAATTTTTGGTGTTTTTTTCATATGCTGAATCGAACCATGTTGTTAGATTTTGGATATCAGACCATTCTAGGTAAATTAAATGTCCCATTTCAAATTTTTAAGATCTTTGACCACATTTATTTTGTGTCAGAAACCTATATTATGTCAAAAATTTTATCACAATCCAAATTCAGACAGTATCAAGCTTGAATATTGTGTCCAAACTTCCCAACTGTTCAGGGTTAGACCTCTGCGGTCGTATCTGGCTGCGCTCAGCAAAGCATTTTATTTTACATGTCATACAATCGCCTGAGATCTCCATGAATGAAAATTTAACCATGGAGAAATAATCACAAGCGCATTGTTATACTGTGGATTCATTATTATTCGTTGGATACCAATTTTTGTGGATTTCGTGGGTACAAGTGAACCACGAAATTAAATGATCAACGAATGACATATTTAGTATAGGCTTGTACGCAGACTTTCGTAAAACCACGAAATTAAATATCCACGAACATGCAAATTTTCCCTAATCCTCGAAAATTGGTACCCACGAAAATAAATGAATCCACAGTAAACAAAAATTTCATTCCTCCTTTTTTTTTTGTAAGATATAGAAGATAGACTGATAAATTTTTAACTATATTAATTTCACTATAGAATAACCATAAAGTGTCATTAAATTTTATTTATTTCAATCCCAATATTAAGTCTGGCATTTTTTAGTCACCTTACAAAAAAATGGGTTGTGACTCTTCTTTTTTTTCATTGTCAAATTCAAATTCAAATCAGTAGTCACATCATTAACTAACTTGATCAGCTGTCTGCAGTATGAACAAGAAATTTCGTAAGTGGTTTTTTTTAAAAGTTGAATAAAGATTTGTGAAGGGCAATAGTTAAAAATTGAAATGATTTTAGTGACCTAAAATGGCAAATACCATATAGAAACAGACCATCCAACTTTTAATTCTGAGTCAAAAATATAAGTTGGATTTATTAGATTGATTATAAACGAGGCTAGCAAAAAGAAATTTTTTTTTGACCCCACCTTAAAACCGTGGCACATTTATTTATTTTAATGATGGCAGGTCCAAGAAGGAGATTATATGATGATGGCGAATGATAAGTTAATATACTTTATGGAGATCCCTGACTTGCTTGGATCAAATTACTGGTACTACAAACTTTACACTGTTTGGATTAGTAAATGCAGGCTTGATCTTGATTTTGAAATTGTTGCTCTAGAGTTATGGGCTTTTTTAACAGTCATATTTTTGTAGGACTCGAAACTGCGATGGAACTCCGAACTGCGATGGTCTTGCTGATTTGCGATGGTTAAACGCTGAAGTGTGTTTTTGATCACGCCGAAGTGTGATGGTGGCATTAATTGTGACACTGTCTTGTTGAAAGCTACGCTGAAGAGCGGTGGTGGTTAACGCTGAAGTGCGATGGATTAAATAAATCATATTTTCAATGTTTTTCATGTTCACATGTCCATATAGAAGTTAATTTGTTTGTTAGAAGTAGCTTTCCAGTTGTTTTTTATTTGTAACATATTGAGTATAACCCGTTTGATTTAAAACAGTGATGATAAATAGTCATTGCATTTTCAGTACTCACTAGAACATTGTAGTGAACATTATACTTTGTAAATAGCTTAAACCAAAAAAAGCAGTCGTTCCTACAATCGATCAGATATTGATGCTACATACAAAAGCTATTTTCCTTTAAAACCAGTATTGTTTGCAATGACTGAAAAAAATGTGGTAAATGTTTGAAATGCAAATACTTCTTGGTTAGTTAGAACGAAACAAAATAAGCGAAAAATCTGTGAATCAGAACAAGGAATAAGAGGGATTATCGATGTTTTTTACTGAAACTGGAGACAATATTGAATGCTTGATATTTATATACATGTACTAGCTTATAAAATAAATTCAAGCACTCATAATAATTGGACATCTGTAAATTTAAACTAGCCATCATGTGTCTTATAGATCATCGCACATCAGCAAAAGGACCATCGCACTTCGGCGCAGACCATCGCACTTCAGCATTCCTAACGCACCTCTGAGTCCTACATATTTAAGGTAATATTCATAGACCAAAGGATATTCTCATGCAAGTTTTTCTACAGAACCATTTTACTAACTTCTGGTAAGATGTCTTTGAAATATTCCATTTTATCCTGTCAAAAATTTCAATATGCACAAGACAAGAGTATCATGTGCTTATGGCTATTTATTTGATACTTTGAATTATGAGTGGAGGTTTTATCAGGACAACATGTGCAACTTCTTATTTGTTATGTTAATATATAGATTGTATGTATATAATTATTTATAGTTGAAAAGAGAGCTGAATGGAGGCTTAGTTACAGGGCTGCTGTCTCATTGACATAAACCCCACATTTCATTTTATTATATATGCATATTTGAAATGTCTATAAACATGATAAATATTGTATGTATATTTAAAGTTGAAAGAGAGCTGAATGGGGGCTTACCTGGTGGAACAAACCAAAGAGTTTGCAGAGACTGTGAACCTTACACCTGGTTAAATTCAGGGGGTACCAGGTATGTTTTAGTTCTGCAAATAAAGTATTGGGGTATTGTAGCACTCTTGGTATCAATATTGTGTATTAATTACTTATAGGTTGCACTTCTGTAAATATAGACAATTTAAATTCCCATAGGAACTCCTTTAATGGATAAAACTGTGCCTCTTTTACTATGCAGTTTTGTAAAAAATAATATTCTAGAATGGAAAGTTCATATGCACTACTATTTTTTTAAAAGGTCAAAATATAGGGCTGTGCAGCATATTTTCAACATTTATATGACCCGAACTAAGAGTTTTAACTTTTACAAAAATTCTGTACTACCCCTCCCTTCACTTTGGGTCTTCCTCAGAATTCAATTTGGCTGCTATCCATCATGTCCATGTGTATTTAATCTGTGAACCAGTACCTAAACAAAACAAAATATCCATGAATATTATATATCTCCCCAAAAGAGGTGTGGTTTGTGAAAAAGCTGTATTTACAAAGTGCAACCTGTAATATGTAGAAAACATGTGAATGTCATGAAAAAGATATTCTTTAAAGTCATATGATACTTCAAATAAAAAAATGTGATGAATTATATGTCCTTCACCAGAAAAGTTTGTCAATTATGCACGCCTTTATGACGTCATTTACCAAATAGAGGGGATCGCCTGTATCCCTGCACTATTAAAGTTCATCAAGCGTCTTTGTGATCGTCATTATGCAGGATAAACTAGAAATAATGTTTGTCCCGTAGGACAATTCCTTAATGACAGCAGTGCTGATTATCAATTATATATATGAATCAGAATTTAATTTGCCGAATAATTCATGCAATATAGCATAATATTTTTTCAACCACTCGCTCAACATGGGAAGGAAGTGACGATGCCTTTAAACGCATGAATGATGTTCACTAAAACCAAAAGTTTTTAACGGAAATGCAACTAACTTGAAAGTTGTCTATTGAATGGCTAAGTTTTACTTTTAAACGTACACAATACCTTTTTTTAAAAGGAAATCCTTTATTTTATCAAAATCTTCAGAAATGTTTTGTATTGAATTATTGTATTCCCATACTCTAATTCAAAGACAGCTTTTCTGTATGTAGTGACCTTTACCAAAACACAAGAAGTTCTACAAGCATGACAAGTGTGAAGGAGAAAACAGTGATGTAAGAAAAAAAAAAACTTTGAAGGAATAGAGCATTAAATGATTCTGAAAGAAAAAAATTAATACTTCAAATTATTTGATAACTGTTATGACAAAGTTTCATTAACAAATGGGATCACATGAAAAATATTAAAAAATAAATAAACAGTGCTCTATCATCCCACTTATTTTTCACATGCTCTGTGATTCTGTGATGATTGTCTATAAAGGTTAAGATTTTGGATGCTATAAGTTGTATAATCATACAAAGTCGCATAATGGTGCAATCTAATGAGAAGGTTGTGCAAAAAGTTACCAGTTTAACCTGTTTTTAGCTCACTTGGCCCAACGGTCCAAGTGAGCTTTTCTCATCACTTGGAGTTCGTTGTTGTCTAACGTTAACTTTTACAAAAATCTTCTCCTCTGAAACTACTTGACCAAATTTGACAAAACTTGGCTACAATCATCACTAGGGTATCTAGTTTAAAAAATGTGACTCTGCCTGCCAACCAAGATGGCCGACATAGCTAAAAATAGAACATAGGGGTAAAATGCAAGTTTTGTCTTATATTTTGAAAACTGTAATAAATAGAGAAATCTGACAGTGGCAGAAATGTTCAATATGTTGCGCTCTACCAATTGTTTAATTACGTAAAAACTGTTAGGGGACTTCTAATAGGAGTTATTGCCCTTAAATGACCAATTTTACCATTTTTTTTCATTTATGCCTATTATCCTGAAAACTATTATAGATACAGAGAAACTTTAAATTGCAAAAATCATCAGCAAAAAAAGATATACTATTAAGTCCAACACGATCGAAACTACAGTCTACTCCTTATTAGAGTTATTGCCCTTTGATGACGTTTTTTACCAATTTTTATACGACCGCAAAAAAATTTTGAGGTTGTATATTGGTATGACGTTGGCGTCGTCGTCGTCGTCCGAATACACAATGGTTTTCGCACTCTAACTTTAGTTTAAGTGAATGGATCTCTATGAAATTTTACCATAAGGTTCAATACCACAATAGGAAGGTAGGGATTGATTTTGGGGGTTATGGTACCAACAGTTAAGGAATTAGGGGCCAAAAAGGGGCCGAAAATAAGCATTTTTGTAACTTCCAGACATAACTTGTGTGTTAGCATATGGATCTCTTTGACATTGTACCACAAGATTCCATATCACAAAGGGTCAATGCTGGGATTGATTTTGGGGTTAATTGCCTCAAAATTTTAGGAATAAGGGGCCAAAAGGGGGCAAAAAACAAGCATTTTTCTAGTTTCATGACAATAACTTGTGTGTAAGTGTATGGATCTTTCTGAAATTTTACTACAAGGTTCCATTTCACAAAGGGAAAGCTGGAATTGAGTGTTGTGGTAATTGCCCAAAACGTTTAGTAATAAGGGGCCTAAAAAGGGGTTTAAAATAAGCATTTTTTAGTTTCTAGACAATAACTTGTGTTCAAGTGTATGGATCTCTCTAAAATTGTATTACAAGGTACCATACTACAAAGGCAAGGCTGTTATTGAGCTTGGTTTGGGGGGAAAGGGGGTGGGGGTGATGAATCATAAGGGGGGCGGGGGTCAAAAAAGGGGTAATTTTTTTTTTTCATTTTTTTTTTGTTTAAAATTTACATTTTAAGTTAGTTATTTTTTATCACGAAGAGAAAGTAGGAATTGAGTTTTGGGGTTAATTGCTCAAACATTTATGAATAAGGGGCCAAATATTGGTCGAAAATAAGGATTTTTTTAGTGTGCTCTAATGTTTAAGGAATAAGGGGAAAAAAGGTTAAAAAACAAGGGTTTCCATTTTAATAGACAAATAATTGAGTAAAGAACATTATTTAAAAGCAGTGTAAGGTTGGTAATTCAAACTCATTTAAATATCTCATCTACACTGCTTTTAAATTATGTAAATTGGAAATTTGCCAATAACTTTATTGTTAATAAATGCATTGGAAATTTGCCAACAATTTTAGTGTAATAAACTTCATTGGAAATTTGCCAATATAAAATTTTGCTGATGAAGGTTTTTTGTTTACCTTTAGCCTTGACTATGAAGTCATTTTCTGTTTTTATAGCCTGATGATGTAGTTGAATTATTTAATACTTTTATGATGTGTTTAAATGGGGTTTTATCATGTTTATGGTTGCAAATTTATTGTTTTAGTATAATAAACTCCATTTAAAATTTGCCAATAAAAAAAATTTTTGTTTATTTTTAGCTATGATTATGATGTCATTTTCTATTTTACTTTTATGGTTGCAAAGAAATTTTTATTTTTAGATATTACTGTTAAATGATGCTGATTAAGGTTTTAGCTATGTTTAGCCATGACTATGATGTCATTTTCTATTTTAATATCTGTTATGATGTATTTAAATGGGCTTTTATGGTTACAAAGGAATTTTATTTTTAGATATTACTATAAAATGTTGCTGATGCTGATTAAGGATTTTGTTTATTTTTAGCCATGACTATGATGTCATTTTCTATTTTAATATCTTTATGATGTATTTAAATGGGCTTTTATGGTTACAAAGGAATTTTATTTTTAGATATTACTTTAAATGTTGCTGATTAAGGATTTTTGTTTATTTTTAGCAATGACTATGATGTCACTTTCTATTTTAATACCTTTATGATGTATTTAAATGGGCTCCCATGTATTTAGATTTTTGATTATTTATACATGTTACCAAATTGGTCCACATTGAACAAAAACGGTCCAAATTTCAACTTTATTACATTACATCAAACATTGAATTCTACATATTCTTTGATATATTGAAATGAACAAACAATTTAGTTTATGGAGATTCCACCATAATAGGTAAATTAAATTTTTTCCAGTTCTTACACCACATTCATCCTGTGTCAGAAACCTATGCTGTGTCAAATATTTAATGACAATCCAAAGTCATAGCTGTATCAAGCTTGAATTTTGTGTCCATACTTGCCCCAACTGTTCAGGGTTCGACCTCTGCGGTCGTATCAAGCTGCGCCCCAGCGAAGCATTTTATTTGCATTCTTGCCTTATATCTTAAAAATTATTATAGATAGATAGAAACTTGAATAAGCAAAAATGATCAGCAAGACAAGATCTACTATAAGAAAATATGGAGGAAATTGTCCGACGACTCCTTATTGGAGTTATTACCCTTTAATGTCATTTTTTTGTGTTTTGCCTTATATGATAAAAATTATAACAGATCAAAAATGATCAGCAAGGCAAGATCTACAAACAAGTAAAATTTTGCTGATATAGTCAGTATACTGCCACTCTTTATTGGATTGATTGCCCTAAAATGAGGATTTGCTTACCCTCTTTTGTGTTTTGAGCAAAAACTAAAGAAGATAGAGAGAAACTAAACAGACAAAATGATCAGCAATACAAGATCAACATTAAATAAAGAGATTTTTGTCATGAAGTCTATTCTTGTCTATAATTAGAGTGTCCTTTGTTGAATATGTACATAGATCTAGGTGAGCGACACAGATGTTAGTAATAATGTTTGGTTTGATCATCTGCACTTCAGGTGAACATAGTAATCATTAATTCACTGAGGGAGGTAAAAATAAAGTATAGTTTCACTTAAATGTTTAGTTCAAAGATGAAATAGTACTGTATATTCAGAAATTATTGTGAGGTTTTATTTAATGCGAATAATGCAACTGTTAGTATCACAATAATAAGAATTCTGAATCTGATACATATATTTGTATGCCAGATTTTCCTGAAATCCCAATGATTAATCAAACATTTTTTTCCATTCCTCAAAAATTGCAATAATAAATGCACCCAATAATTTCTGAAATTTACAGTAATTACATGGATGAAGTTGCAAATTGTTGATAACACTATCCTTATAGGTTTTAACTATATCTTTAATATATTTCAGATGTGTGAGGTGTACAGATTACTTGAAAACCACAAACCTTACTTCATGTACCTGTATTGATACTCAGAAGGTTTGTTTATAAAACAGTATTACATACCAACATACCAACTGACCACTAGCAAAAAGAATTTAATAGAAAACATTTTAATTATATTTTCTCTGCATGAAAAATGTCTCCAGCATGCAGTATGAATACATGTATGAGATACATTTTTGTCAACTTTCAACTGAGGTATAATTGTATGCAACTGCAATGAACCCTTATAATTTAGAAAGTATCAGTTTTTATGCCCCCGGATGTGGCATTAAGTGTTACCCTTGTCCATCTGTACATCTGTATGTACGTACTTACATCCCAAAATTATGAAACTTATACACAATGATTATTACCACAAAACACAGATCAAGTTTTGAATTTGGGTGTCGTCACTTTTACAGTTCTATAGTTACGTCCCTTTATAAATTATGCAAGCAGGGGCATTTACTAATAAATTTATTAGAAAGGAATGTTTTTTTTGTGAGATTTACATCATGTACATGTATTGATTTTTTTTTATATAAAACATGAAATGATGTATATTTTAGGCTGATGGTTTATGCCTTCCATCTCTGCCTACACTTACTAATGTCATCACAACAGTTCCACTCACAGTAAGTAGTCAAACAGTTGTATATTTTTTCATTGTTTTAGATTTACTGTTCATACTTAGAATTTGAGAAATATTTTATTTTTAGAGGTTAATATGGTTAACAGAGCTGGTATAGTGGTACTGTGGTCTCAAGAAAGTCAACCATATTCTTAGTAAAGATACCGTTGTCTCCCACTGCAATATATTTCCCTATAAGAAAGTTGTGGTATCTCAAAGGTTTTTCCTTTTGTTCCTCTTTAAGAATAGCATTTTCAAGCAGGTCAGAAAGTTCAATGTTGTGGAACTTTTAACTTGTTTGAAATCACAACATCAGAAATATGTAAGAAATGTGTGAGACCACAATATTTCTAACAGTAGAATAGTTACACCTGGGTTTACCACAATAAATTGACTTGTGTGTTGTCTATCACATATATTAAATATTTCTATGATTTACTGGAATATTATGATCTGGATCAGGAAGTAGTGTTGTAAACATTATCTCAGATGATCAGTCATCTATCTGTTAAAGCTGTTAAACAATGCTGATAATTGAGTGTATTTTCCATAATCAAAATTGGTGCTGTTAAAGTCGAGTTGATACAATGTGTATTTTTCACGTTTATCATATTTATATTGTTAGCATTTTCATGTTGTTTTTATACGACTGCAAACAAATTTTTGTGGTCGTATATTGGTATGACGTTGGCGTCGTCGTCGTCGTCCTAAGACACATTAGTTTTCGCACTCTAACTTTAGTTTAAGTAAATGGGTCTCAATGAAATTTTACCATAAGGTTCAATACCACAAAAGGAAGGTGGGGATTGATTTTGGGGGTTATGGTACCCACAGTTAAGGAATTAGGGGCCAAAAAGGGGCCAAAAATAAGCATTTTAGTAATCTAGACATAACTTGTGTGTAAGTGTATGGATCTCTCTGACATTGTACCACAAGGTTCCATATCACAAAGGGAATGCTGGGATTGATTTTGGGCGTAATTGCCTCCAAATTTTAGGAATTAGGGGCCAAAAAGGGGCAAAAAACAAGCATTTTTCTAGTTTCATGACAATAACTTGTGTGTAAGTGTATGGATCTCTCTGACATTGTATTACAAGGTTCCATATCACAAAGGGATGCTGGGATTGATTTTGGGGGTAATTGCCTCCAAATTTTAGGAATTAGGGGCCAAAAAGGGGCAAAAAACAAGCATTTTTCTAGTTTCATGACGATAACTTGTGTGTTAGTGTATGGATCTTTATGAAATTGTACTTCAAGGTTCCATATCACAAAGGGAAAGCTGGAATTGAGACTGGGGGTAATTGCCCAAAAAGTTAAGGAAAAGGGGGCCAAAAATAAGCATTTTTCTAGTTTCCAGACAATAACTTGTGTTCAAATGTATGGATCTCTCTGAAATTGTACTGCAAGGTACCATACCACAAAGGGAAGGCTGGGATTGATTTTTGGGGTAATTCCCTCAAAATTTTAGTAATTAGGGGCCATAAAAGGGCAAAAAAACAAGCATTTTTCTAGTTTCAGGACAATAACTTGTGTGTTAGTGTATGGATCTTTATGAAATTGTACTGCAAGGTTCCATATCACAAAGGGAAAGCTGGGTTTGAGTTTGGGGGTAATTGCCCTAAACATTTAGGAATTTGGGGCCAAAAAGGGGCCAAAAAACAAGCATTTTTCTAGTTTCCAGACAATAACTTGTGTTCAAGTGTATGGACCTCTCTGAAATTATACTGCAAGGTACCATACCACAAAGGGAAAGCTGGGATTGAGTTTGGGGGTGATGAATCATAAGGGGGTTCAAAAAATTGGGGGGGATTTTTTTTTCCTTTTTTTTCTTTAAAATTTTCCATTTTAAATTGGTTATTTCTGATTTATATATAAAAGCAAATAATAATGATATGGTTTGAATAGGTAAATTAAATTTTTTAAGTTCTTAGACCACTTTCATTCTGTGTGAGAAACCTATGCTGTGTCAAATATTTAATTACAATCCAAATTCAGTGCTGTATCAAGCTTCAATGTTGTGTCCATACTTGCCCCAACTGTTCAGGGTTCGACCTCTGCGGTCGTATCAAGCTGCGCCCCAGCGGAGCATTTTATTATCATATTTTAAAGACAGTCTCGTGTTGACTATACAAATTTAACTTTCTTAACCCCTAGTTTTTGGTTGGCTGACAATATCAAACTCTTTGGTTTTTGTTAAGTGTTTCATGTTATGTTGTTTATTTTTTTCTTTAGGCCATGACATTTGTCGTCTGCTTTAATTTTTGATGTTGATTGCTCTTTTTGTACCTTTTGAATTTTTGTTTCTGAGCCTTTAGTTGTTTGATAATCACATTACTTACTTGCTTATCCCTTTTCCTGCATACTTACAGATGAGGCCATCACATTACACATTTTTGTTATTATGAAATCATAATAAGGAATTAAGACAAAAAGCTGACAGGTATTAGTTTAAAAAGAGAATGATTGCCATTTTGAATTGTTACTGTAAATTCAAAAATTATTGCAAGGTTTTTAGTTATGCAAATAATCCAACTTAGTGAGTATCCCAACAATAAGAACTTGCATTCTGATATCTGATACATATACAGTCCAGCTATCACGGATTCACCAAAACACGCGTTTCCGTGATGGAAATTAATTAAAGATCGCGGATTTCCGTGATGGACACATTTAAAAGATCGCGACTTTTTACCTAAATAATATCCAAATTGGTCCACGAAGTCCACGATGACAGTCGATTTACGGGACAAGACAATTCCTTTACTGATGCTAGCTGATACAATGTAGCTATTTTATTGCGAGGTGTAACTGGGTGGTGCAGAATAAAAAAAAAATGTGTTTAAAAGTTTTTTTTTATTCATTAAGCAAATGTATGATGTGATTACTAAATACTTCTTATTCTGATTCACCGAAAAAATATTTTAATTTCATCCTCCGATAAGGAGCTGTAAATTGTTTATCAAATTTGAAACATGCTACCTTTGTTGTACCCTAATTTGGATCTTTTTGTGAGTTTATGAGATAAGCAACGAAGGCTAACTGGGTCTACATTTAGAATAAAAAATGTATGTGTTTAAAGGTTTACGTATTCATAAAACTTATGTATGATGTGATAACTCATTTCTTTTTATTCTGATTCAACAAAAAATCATTTTGATTTTATCCGCCAATAAGGAGTGGTAAATTGTTTAATAAATTTAAAACATGCTACCTTTTTTGTACCCCAATTTGGAAGTTACAAAGATAACAATGCCTGTCAATCATTACCCCAATGAAAGTTAATAAACGCATGACTGGTGTCGGCCAACACACACCTGCTGTTATAAACAAATATGTGTCCGGTTTATATTTCAACAGGTAAACAGAATTTGGTTAAAAGAAATTAATAGGTATTTCATTGAATTGTTGAATGATAGTTTAAACCAAGCTTCACATGTGCTTAAATGAGTCTTTTATGCAAACATTAATTTCAGGTGGATAGGACGTCACTTGGATCGTCTGATTATCGTCTTTGATTTCATTTGAATAAAGTACAGAATTTAATTCATCAACCCTTTCAAGCCCGTAAATCAGTGCTTTTTGCATATATAGCAATGGAAAAAATTACTGGTTGTTATTTAAATTAAAAAATGTCCGCTATTTTTTTAAGCTATAATCATTAAAATATGATCAAATTACTAAACAAATTCTTTTTTACTCATTTTGGACTGATTGGAAGTTGGTTGTTCAATGTCCAGTGACAAATATTTCGTCCATTGTCGTGCAATTTCTTTAGGGTATGTTGCTGGTTAGCATGTTTATTTAATTAATGCCCAGGTCAACATACCTGTCTTTAAAATCGTGGGACTGTTAGAGAACAGGAGAGTTATAAGATAGAATTTAATGGCATTTAGTATACATACAAGGCTGAGCACTACAAGACATGGTTTAGACACGGAGTTAATACTTATATGATGTAATGGACAGACTGTTATTTTGGATAATTATTTTCGGCATGAATAAGTTTGTGTCATATTTGATAATAAACGTTTAGTTATCGATTAACATTATGTATATAAGAATAAATAAAAATTGGGGGAAAATAAGTTTGTCGTATGATTTGCCTGAAAATAAGCTTTAACAAACTTAGTGGGTATATTGTATATTCAGTGCTGGGCAGAAAAAAGACTTATTTAGTTTGTAGAAATATAGCATAGACGAAGAGACAGAAGATGGACTGGGAGAAGAGCTAAGTTAATTGTATTTAATTTAATGCAACATTTTCAAATTTCTTTTTGAAAGATATGTGTGGTCCTGAAAAGGACCGTTTGTAAACTTTTTGTAAGCTTTATACACCTCAAAGGACGTCGAAGTCTAGCTCTTGATAATGAGGGTCGTCTGCTGGTGGGTTGTTTTCAATTTGGACAGCAGCAAGTGCAGGTCTTTGCTTCTTTGGTTGTTGACGCAGCATCTCATTTACAGCATTAATGACATTGGTCCGGAAGATGTCTTCCTGACAGACCTCAGGGTACATCTGAACGGTGAATTGCCGGATTATCTCTCGCCTGGCTGGGTCTAGCTCATGCTTACTATGCTTTCCACCACCATTCCAGTTGTAAAAGTAGCGCAGGTTGTCCATGCCATACAATTCTGGAAAAAACTTTTTGGTTAAGGCAGCTGCAAAATTACCAGCACTCTTTGCTGAAACCTTGATTCTGGTCAGCTCCTCATTTGAAAGGTTGTACATGTCTGGTATGGCAGGTACCTGTAGGTCGTTGTCTACTACTGCTGGAATGGTGGTCCTATGTTGTCTGGATAATATCTGGTCCTGTTTGCTCTCCAGTCTTTTATGCATCACTTCCAGCTCTGTTAACCTACGGAGGCCTGTGTCAACTTTTTTGTTGAGGGTGTCAAGGTTTTTCTGAATTGATGTAACTGCAGAACCTATTGCTGTAAGTGCAGACATTACAGGACCAAGCTGACTTGATGTATGGGATGGTCTGGCTGGTGTAAAGGGCGATACTA